TCTGGGGAAGAAACATGTTGGGAGGATGCTAAGTGAGAGCATGTACTGTGTAGAAGAGTTGGGGGGAGGAAGGGAGATGCAGCTCCAGAACATGGTGGGCGGAAAAACTGATCCCAGCAGAGTGAGGACAGGCAAATGCATCTTAAGAGAGGGTCATTGCAGCAGTGACAAACCTTAATTTCACAAGATGTTTCTTATTTCTGTGTGCATGTTGAATACGTAAATAAAAACATTGTAATTTCAGTCAAGGAAACCACGTCTTATCTTCACATGAGAGAAATTGCTGATATGGGGGTGGAAATGTCATCTGCACTGGGTGTTGAGACTTCAGATTCAGTGACAGGTGATTCCTTACTCTACAAGTAATACAAGCACTTAGCCTGTTTGCATTAGGCTCTTGGATTTTTTTTTTTCCTTGATGGATTACTCCAGTCAATCACGGCATATACTGCGACACTAATAGCTAACCACTGAGGTGCTCTGCAGCAGAGCAACATGGACCTGTAGTATTTCAGTTAGCTAAAACTGGCATTACTTTAATGCCAAAATGAAAATGCTGAAAATAGACCCTCTTTACTGACAAATTCTCATTTAACAGAATCACTCTTCAAGAGGTTGCTAGTGCTAACAGCTTTGAGGGAAAAATTATAGGGAGATTATAAAACAAGATGTTGACCTCTATGTAGAGCAAACCTATCAGGTAGGTACAGGGAGACCTGGAGTCTTTTGTTCATGCTCCAAGTTGTTACATGCAGAGGACTTCTGGTTGAGATGTCACACACACTCATTAACCCGGTGCTATGCACAAGCAAACACATTCTGACTCAGATAAGCTTCAAAAGCCACCCCATCAGGGCATTTTAGGAGACTAGCACTGATTGTGACTGAGTTAAGTTAGGAAAGTGTTTATACATGCATACACACACGCACACACATACACACATATCAAATGCAATGAGTATATATATGTCTACACATAAAATGCAATTTATTATTTCCAAATTCATTTTGAAAATAGAAAAGTAAATATTTGAATATATTTTCTGAAATTTTGTTGCCAGTAAGTAGTGACAGTAGATCAAGCTTTTGAAGGCAGTAGGGATCTGGAGATCTGGGAAGCCAAGTATGTCGCCCTCCCCTAGCAGCTTGTCTGGGGACACAGCTTCACTAGCAGTGGTGTACAGCTGCAGCACTAGAGATGATTTGCACCTGGACAAATCCAAATGACCATGGAGGAGCTGGGTCTGCCTGTATCTGCCCATATAGATATACCAATAGATGGCAGACACATGCTATTGGACCAATGGCAATGTTCACATATAGCACTATACATAAGTGCCCCAAAACAGACACTGGAGGGAGAACCAGTGTAAATCTTTAATAGAAATGCTTTGATTTGTTCTTTGCTGCATAGCAAAGTGAACAAAACGAAGTTTGGAGATGGCAGAGTCCTGGAGAGCTCCAGACTTAGGAATGAAAGAAACAGAGGCAGAGCACCATATGCGAGTGCAGAGGGGTGAGATGGGTTCTCATGACTGGGGTAGAGGGGAAATAGTAGGTGGCATGATCATGTCTGGTATGAAGGGTGACGGAGAAGTCCAGACTGCAAAGGGACTTCAAACAGATTAATGACCAATGTTTATAAATCTGAGTAGACAAGAGTTGAACTAAGATGGCAGAGATGTACCAACTGCAGTGTGTTTAGGGAAGCTGACCTAGAAATCAAGGGTCTTCCAAGAAGCCCTCGGATGTTGGTATATGCAATGCATACATTTCTCAGTTCCACTAACGACTGTTATGCTCCACTTAAGTTAAAAAGGTTTGTTTTTCAATACTGGTAGTCTCCAAGTAACAGCACTGAAGATGGTGTTACTAGTTAGGGTGATCACACAGTTGTTATGAGTTAATTTCAAATTTTGAATGATATTATAATTGAGCTAACGTTTTAATAAATAGTAGGGCAGGTCTGGAGAGCAAGTTTATCTGCAGCCTGCTATTAAATACCTGCATGTGTGCTGGATTCAAGGAATATAATCTCTGGCTTTAATATACAGACACATAAAAAGAGGACTGTGTTTCTAAAGATCTTAAGAAACATCAAAGGTCATTGAAAAGTTGAGTAAACAGACACTCTTTTAAAATTGTCCTTCTGATCTTGTTCAAATATTGTGGTTTTTTGTGGTTTTGTTTGTTTTTTTTTTTTTTCAGAATCTTTATTTAATCTTCTAAATTAACCTCACATTAATAAAGATGATACAGAGATGTTAAAATGGAAGGTGGAAGACATCAGCCTTTTAATTAACCACTATATGCTGAAGATTACAGTCTGTCTTACAAACACGGGTACATGAAGAAATCAAGAAATTGGGTACTTTGCTGTGAATTAACAGAAAATGTGAGTTCTATTATGAGTCCTGCTATTGATCTGACAGTTGATCTTGGGCAAGTCATTTCAACTTTCCCTGACACTATTGGGTGTTGTTTTTTTCCTATTCTTCTGCCTCATCTGGTTATGCTGAATATTCATCTGAAGAGTTTTTCCTGGTGTGAATGGCCAGTGCCCAGCAGTGTGAAGCCCTGGTCATGGCTACTGTGCTAGAAGAAGTGCCTAACCCTTCAAAGTCTGAGTTACTCTGAGGGCAGCTTCAGAGTGGTATTGGAGTCAATGCAGAGGGATGCTCACTTGGAAAGGTGCTGCCCAGGGGGCTCAGCATTTCTGGCTCAAGTCTCCATTTCAGGGACAGGGGTGATGCCAAACGGGGAATTTCATCCTTGCCAGTGGCAAGGGAACACAAGGCAACATGAAGTGCTCTAACAACTGATTTCAGCACAGACGTCTTGATTAAAATACTTGTGCAAAATAAAAGGCTTGTGCTTTCTAATGATTACAGATTTCATTGCACAAATGTGCCTCAATGTGAGAGCAATCACCTGCACTGCCAAGGGGGGTCAATGCACTGAGAGCAGCCTGTGCCGAGAAATCACCCCGTGTTACCTGCATGAGAGCTGTGTTCCTCACCCCAGCTGCAGTGGAGACACTATAAAACATCTCTGGGCTTGCAAACCCAGTCAGGGTAGAGCTATCTAATGAATTACCATCGACTGCTGACCCCGGAGTTACCTGCATGCTCAAAGCCCGTGGTGAATGGGAAGCAGGTTGACTTAGTTCAACAATACAAGGTGGATAAACTTAGATCAGATTGCTGTAGCTTTGGGTTAATAGCTTGCACATAAATGGCTCGCATGATTTGCTAGCTGCTGAAACTTGTATGCCAAATACTGCTTGTATGTGCGAATTTGGGTCATGATTTATGAAACCAGGTGCCACAACTTCATGTTTGCAGCAGTTAAATAATACACCAATTTTCTAAGGAATGCTAAGGCTCTAGCAGTGACCCCAAGTTTTGCCTCCACTACCAAATGACTAGATGAAGATGCGGTGGGAGCAGCTAAGTATTCAGCATTTTTCAAATCAGGCCAATATTCTTTACAAATCCACTGGGCTGAACTGTGTCTGTATAATCTCATAACCTCCTAAAAATGAGGTGCACAGAGATAGCACTAATTTTAACGTAACCTTCATTTCCAAATATATCACTCTAACACAAATACATGCTGGAGGAAATTGAAGCTTGGAAGTCATAAAGTTGTGGGGCTTAAAAGTCAATAAAGTGCCTTGAGGATCCTGCTTAAAATAACAATTGTTTTTCAGTCTGGATTCCTGTCTTTCACTGCACTTCAGAAATTTTTAATGTGGTTCACACAGGTCAATTTCTATCAAGCATTAATGTTATTTATAAGTGAAAAAAAAAAAAAAAGTGAATGGATCACTAGAACTGTAGTCTTTGCACTTGTATTAACAGGGAATTTTTATGTTTGGGACGTACTTGAAATTTTCCCTCCTGGTATAGTGACCCAAACTTGCAGAGCTGAGCCATGCTTTTCCTTATTGCCATTAGTAATAAAGGTTGGATTATTCTCCTGGCTTCTGAGGAAAACCTTATTATTACTGGGCAGCTGTCACTGAGACAGTTTGCATTCAATCTGACAGATTATGCAATTGTCCTGGTTCTGACATAACTGCAGCATCGTCTCATCAACTGTAAACACACAGCTACAGGAAACATGCACTGGGGAGGCAAAGGAGGAGGAATCTCTTCTTCAAAGGGAAAAATGAAATTTGGTTCAAACCTTGTCAAAACAGCCTGTGTTTGGTTTTAAGGCATTGTTGGCTTGGCCTTATAGCTTTCTTCCTGTTTCTTCATTGCTGGCATTTATTGATGATCCTTTAAATTAGAATCTCTCATTGAGCTGCCCAACAGACACATAAAGGGAAAGCTTTATACGTGAAATAGAGCTGTGTATGTGTTAGCAACCCTGCAGCAAAACCTAGGATCCTCAGCTATAAATGGATGCACTAATTAATGACAAGGTTTCGTCCCTCTATTAATTTGTTTTCTTTATTTAGATCCTTAGCATATTACCATAAAAAAAAGGCTCATCATGTACGGTCAAAGAGCAAGTGGCTGGGAGGTGAGTTCTGCTTTTCTGACATCTCTCTGACATTCCTCCCTGCTGTGTAAGCAAGCTACAGGCTGTTATGAAGCTAAAGTAGCTGCTGAGGACCCTAGAAAGCCTGGACATCATCCCAAAAGGATGTCACAACTGGTATCCTTAACTGGGCATATCCTCCCTAGGCCAGCAAGAACACAGAGAAGAGGTAAGAGTTCCTTTCCCCAGAGAATACAAGTGAAAGAAGCAGGTGATCTACAGTGGGAAAGTGAAAGATGAAAACCTACTTAAAATATTAATCTGTCTAAACAGTGGATACAAGAGTCTCTTCATCTCTTGTTGCTTTTAACTAAAAAAGACAGGAAAGTCATGCACAGCTATTATCATAGCAACAGTTTATTTTCCAGGAGGGTGGTGTGGTTTAAGACAGTCAGGAATGCACTACACAGGCCAAAATAGGATTAAAACACAGAAATACACAGGGTGTCCTACCAAAGGCCCAGGAAAGAGTCTGAGTCACCTAGCAGCACCCCAAAAATCATCTGAATGGACAGGGTTTACTGTCCATTCATTAACCTGAGCTTGCAGAAGCATGTAGTAGACAGCACTGTCAGCTGGCAGCAGTGTGACTGAAGCATAAGCTTCCAGGCATCTTTCACCAACATCTGGAATTAGCAGGTGGTTTTCTTGATGTCTGAGTTGGTGCAAAGGGTGCTGAGGAGGCTGGGGCCTTGATTTTTCAGCTTATCCTTGCCGTGGTGGAGGAATCACAGCATGTCCACCAACTGCTCCCTCATGCACATGCACTGTAGCTGCACATGGAGGCAGGAATCACTGGTCAGCATCTCCTTTGTGGTGCTTGGCTCCAAGCAGAAGGCATGCCTGGGGGGAGGCTGCAGGGCATGAATAGGCAGTGGAGGACATTGTCATCCCAGGCACTCCACCCTTCACAGACACAGCCCACCCCAATGGCTGGCTGCAGCTGCGGCTTGAAGTTATTCCCAAAAAGTCTTTGGCAGGTACTAAGAAGCTTGTCTACCAGCTCCTCCACCAACCTGCATGTGTCAGCCATGTATGACACTGGCTACTGGATGCAACTGGCCACAGAGCTGCTCAGATGTGTCACCAGAGACATCATTGTCTTCTTCTGCTACCCTTCTCTAGCCGTGGCAAATGTCAACTTTGCATCTTCTCCTTCTTAGATATGCATGGGTGATAACACAGCCATACCTACTGAGCCAAAGCAAAGCTAAGCAGCATCCAATGCCTGCTACTTGTGTCCTCACTGTGTCAGATAAGGAGAACAAAAAATCTCTCATGCTTGTCACTATAATCCAGTAGTTATCTAGGATCAATTTGGGAGCTAATTTCTTCACTAACAGATTTTTTTTTTCTTCAGGGCTTTCACCTTTTTCAGTTACACACCTAATCAGAGAGATGAACTGTTGGGAGAGAGTGGGAAAGGCTAAGAGCACTAATACTGTGGGAATGGGAGGGTTAGGGAGCTGGTAATACCCTTGTATAGCCAGAGAGAGCGGCTGAGGAGGCTTGGGAGGGGCCAGAATCAATTGTGGTTAACCCCTGCACTTGTCAAAATGCACTAACCCAGAAAGCAGGATGTTTTCTTCTGGGAGCCAGAGGCAGCCTCCTGCTGAGACTAAATGTTGTCCACCCACTGCAACTGCATAGCTGTGGCTGAAACACAGATGGAAGTGATAAAACCTCCCTGTGAGGACACCTACACCCAGACAGACCTCCCAAGAACTCAAAGAGCTGCTCAGACCCAAAGTTGTGTGGAACTCCAGATCTTGGAAGTCCCCCTAGGGTCCAAAGGCAGAGATGGATGTCATGGGTGTAAGTGTGACCAACTGGAGGAACTTTTCAAGCAAGTAGCCATGTAACAAGAGGAGCTTAACAGACAACACAGTATCTGGGTATCTGAGTGAGAGATCTATGCATGGTGTTGTGCACTCACAAGCTGAGCAATAGCCCCACATTCAGACTTTGCAAAGGGGAAGCAAGCTTGCTTCCAACCCTGAGCTGACAGACTCAATTAAGTCACAAGACAAAGGAGACTGGATTCTCATGTCTGTTCAGGGCAGGAGGAATCATCTTCCTTTTCCACCTGAAGTGCCCCTACATAACAGATACGATACCCAGGGGCTGGAGAACAAAGAGATCATGAGTAATGAGCAAGACCCAGGAAAAGCCAATTGTGCAAAGTTGGTCCAACCACCCATATGCATTAGAACAGGTGCAACCAGAAAAGTACACAGGGTGTTAGTAATCGGAGACTCCTTGCTGAGAGGCCCTTTTGTCATCCAGACAATGTCTCTAGAGATGTTTGCTGCCTCCTGGGAATAGGCATCCGTGATGTCATGGAGAGGCTGCAGAGCCTGGTAAAGCCTGCAGACTATCACCCATTCCTACTGCTTCAAGCAGGGTCAAATGATGCTGCAACGAGGTGACTCAGAAATAGACTCAGAAATATCAAAAAAGACCTTATGTCCCTTGGAACAATGTTAAAGGCATCGGGAGCATAGGTGGTGTTCTCTATCCTCCCAGTCCTCCCAGTTTGAGAAAAAGGAGATGCATCAAACATGTGAATGACCGGCTGCATAGCTGGTGCCATGCTCAAGGTCTCGTCTTCTGTGAGAGGTGGGCACACCTTTGAGACCAGGCCTGTTGACAGTTGAAGGGCTCAACCAACCAAGTGGGACAAGAGTGTTCTGGGCAACAAGCTGGCTGGACTTATAAAGAGAGCTTTAAACTAGATTTAGTGGGAGAAGAGGATGGAGTTCTAAGCACTAAAGAAGAACCAGTGGCTGCTGAGGCATTAGGAAGCAACAAGAAAGCATCTGTGAATTGTCTCAAGGGAGCTAGGATGAACTCCTCTGAAAAGGTGATGTGGCTGATAGGCCATCTGAAGTGCCTCTTTACCAAAGTGTGCAGGATGGGAAACAAACAGGAGGAGCTGGTAGCCACTGGCCAGATGGAAAACTATGACCTGATTGCTATTACAGAAACTTGGTGGGATGAATTGTACGATTGGAGTGATGTGATTGATGGCTATAAACTATTCAGAAGGGACAGGCAAGGAAGGGAGTTGCCCTCTATACCAAAAATGGGATTGATTACACAGATCTATCTTTGAAGAACAGCAACATGCAGGTTGAGAGCTTATGAGTGAAAATTAGAGACCAAGTCAACAAAGGAAGCTTTGCGGTTGGTGTCTAGTACAGACCATCTGATCAAGATGAGGAGGTTGAAGAAGAGTTCTTCAGCTGCAGGAGACATCACTCTCACAGGCCCTGATCTGATAGGGGACCTGGACATCTGCTGGAAAAGTGGTACAGCAAAATGCAATCAGTCCAGGAAACTACCAGAGTGCACTGATGACAGTTTCCTACTACAGGTGGTGGGGAGTATGACCAGAGGAGAGGCACTGCTGGACCTCTTGCTCACTGATGTGTAAGAACTTATTATTGGAGAGGTCAAAATTGGAGGTAGCCGGGGCTGCAGTGATCATGCCCTGGTAGAATTCTCAATCTTGAGGGGTACAGGACAAGTAAAAAGTAGAGTCAGGACCCTTAACCACTATATTGGGTGTCCATGGCAAGGTGAGGGCAGCGGGACGTTGCAGAGGGGCCTCTGTGAGAAGAGACCAGGGGTAGCTCTCTGATGGATGCAGCTGGTCCCTCAAATGACACTGAGCCCATCAGCCAAGCTGGCAACATCTCTGTGGAAATGCATTTAAGAAGGAAAATGCAGCACAGCAGTGAAAAGTGATGGAAAAACTGTGAGAAACAGCCCTGTAGACACCAAGGCAAAACAGTGAGGGGGTGGGGTGCTTGCTCAAGGGGCTGGGAAATATATTCCTCTGCAGTACATGGAGAGGACCATGGTGAAGCAGCTATTTCCCTACAGCCCATGAAGGGGAACACAGTGGAGCTAATTTTCTAAATGAAAAAATCAGCATTTTGAAACAAATTTTAAAATTTTATACAAAATTAATTGCTTAGCTTGACCTCTATTAATGAAAAAATATATTTCCCCTAGAACCTAATAATCTGTCTTGCTGACTTGTCTTCATAAAAATTGCCATATTCTTATATCAGTGTTTCAAAAACTATAGAGATTTGGCAGTTTAAACTCTGAACTGTAATGGAAACTTTATGGAGAAAGTGAACCAAGCCATTGGGAGATAAGGGCAATTTTATTGTTTCTGTCTAGCATCGCTCTCTAGGCAATGATCAATCATTAAAGCCTTCACTTCTTGAAAGATACCAGAGAGATTGTGAGAAATAGTGAATATAAAAGCAATGACAGATAGTAAACAGCAAAAGACTTACACACTGTCAAATCAAAGTCTCTGACCCCTGATGGTAGGAAAGAAGACTGGTGCTCAAACTGAACTTATACCGCTATAAGGCAATGTTACTCATGAAAACTCCAACAGTTGAATTCCTACTGTATTGATTTTGCAGTAAGTACTTTGGACTTGGTTTGGACATGAAGATTGATCAACTTTCTTCCAGTGTTCATCTTAGGAAGCCTGAGTCTGCAGTACATGCTGGTTTGGGTCCAAACTGTTCTCCAGAAGATAACAGAGTTCAATCTTTTACTCAGCAGTCAAGGCTCCATTTCAAGTTTCATTCCTTGATTCTATGGTTTTGGATTTATCATTCTGTTTTTCATATATTAGGATCTGAGTCTAACAGCTCAGGACAGAACCTTAAAAAAATCCCATGCCAGGATCACTTCCTACTGAGTTTACACTGATTCCACTTTAGTCCAGCATGAGTTGAGTTCTCCTCCGTGTGTTTCATCATGAGGGGAGATGACTCATTTATTCACTTGGAATCCCTGTCTTCTTCATATGTGGATTCAAAACTCATCATGCAGATCTACTAAAAAATGAGGTCCTCCATGTGGGAGATGAACAGCCAGTTAATCAGCTTGTAGATTGCTTTAAGTGTTGCCAACAAAGAAGAACAATCAGCACAAAGAAATAAAAGACATTTTTCTGCTTAAAAAAATCTGACTGCACAAGAGAAATTTGTTTCAAATGCCAAAACCAAGTTTATTTGTGTACACAATTTTTTGTACACTACATTTCAACCTTCATACACAGTCATGTGATAGCAGGGCAGCTCTGTCCTTATTTGTTACACTCTACATAATATCTTGTCCCATGAACCATGAACCTTCTTTCTGGTTTATAGCAATCCCAGACTGCTCCATTTCCTGAACTGAAACATTTAAATGTATACCATAAAGCTATGGTGCTGTTGAGGAGTACTTACAACAAAGATGAAGACCCAGATGAAAACCGAAGAGGAATATGAGAAAGTCTCCATGAGAAAATTTTGAATAAATAGCCTTTTTATGGACACGCTGGGTCTCCCTGCTGCTCAGTCTGCCGTATATCAAGAGCAGCCCCACTGACAACAGTGCAACTCCTACTGCAAGAAGAGCTTAATTGTGAGAAAGAGAATGTGTTTATGAATGTCGCTGGTAGTTTTTACTGTGAAATGTGATTGAAACAAGGAAGAATCACTGCTTTCTACCTTCTGTTCTTCCTGGAAACAGTGTAGCACAACATATGACAGGGGTAAGATAAAATCACTCAGCCAAAACAACTAATGTCCGTTTGAAAAGGGAATAGCATTTGCTGCATTTTATAATATCCCAGCTAAGATGAAGGAAAAGATAGCAGACTGCAGAAATATACCCCGTATTATGTAAAAGAACCAAGAGATTAAAGGCTGACTGTGATCTTGTTTGCCCAAGATTTAAATTGATGACTCTCATAGACATCCTTGATCTTAACCTGCATTTACAATGGCAGAGAAGAATATTTGGTCATAAAATCTGAGGTCTGACACAGTGTTAGAGAGAAAAACTAAAAGCCCTTCAATATCCTGCAACATGGTAGTCTTTCCATTCGATCTTGACAAGTTATTTAACTACTTGGTGCCTCAATTTTCCCAGTAGTAAACTGGAGATAAGACTCTCGTGAGTGCCACAGTGTCAGAATCTCAATACTAGTGAAATGATTTGAGTGTCTGA